TGAATATAGTTTGATACCGTGTGGATTTATAATTGAGTTATTGATGGGAGATCAGTGGAGGGAAAGTTACTAAGAGAAAATTCCAAGGATGGAGGACAGGGAGGGGTTCTGGCTAAACCAACTCAACAAGATTCTTGGGTGATCGTATATCAGTTGGAGTTGGAGGGGGGCAGTGTTCATCAGATATGGAAGGTGATAAGACATGGAAAGTGTGGGCTTCTCTCTGAGCTAACTCAATAAGGCTCTGTTCCTAAGGACAAGGCCCAAGGACAGGGCCCAGCAAAAAAGCCTGATGTTTGGTTAAGGAGAGATTTTGTCAGTAATCAAGTTGCAGGAGTTCTATTCTGATTTCAAAGGTCAGAGAAGTGAATAACACATTTTAAGAAAGTGTTCTATCAGAAAAGATGAAAAGTGTCTTACATCTATTTTTAATTAAAAGAGAAAGTTCTCAAATGTGTATGTGTTAGGTGGACGAGTGTGGTGATATATAATTCTGTCCTTATTTAGGGACACACCTAGCACATTTCGCATTTCACCCCTGGGGACACAGCTCCAAATTTAGAAATGGGTAAAATTAGGACTAGGACAACAGGTTGGCCCAGTCTGTGTGGCTGTCCCCATGCTATAGCCATGGAACTGTGCAAGTGTGTCAAATAAGCTTTGCTCACCTATATAACCTCCAAGGGTCCCCGCACCTGACCCCTGTCTGCATCACCTGGGGAACATTTTTCACAAATGCAGGTCTCCAAACCTCAGATCAGAAGTTCTGATTCAGTTTGGGGATTAGCACTTTTTTTCATTTTAATTATTTTATTGAGGCAATGATAGTTTACAACACTGTATGCGTTTTAGGAGTGTGGGTTCCTGCCTCTTCAGATGTGCGCTCCCACACCATGCCCACCACCAAAGCCTCCCACACCAATAACCCTCCACCACAGTCCATGGCCCTCCTCTTCCCACTACTCCTTACTATCCCCACCTGTAGCCTCCATTCTACAGCCAGATTTCTAGGGATCGTTTTAGGTTAGCCCCTTTACTTTGTTTCTTTATATTATTTAGAGTCCACTGAGTGAAATCATCCAGTACTTGTTCTTCTGACTTACTTGCTTAGTGCAATCCCTTTTACTTCCACTCCTGTTGTTGCTAATGGCAAGATTTCATTTTTTTAATAGCTGAACAGTGTTCCATTCTGTATCTCTACCACATCTTCTTTATCTACTCATCAGCCATGGGGCACTTAGGTTGCCATAGCAACTGTTTTGTAAATAGTGCTGCAATGAACACAGGAGTGTATATCTCCCTCTGGATTAATAATTTTACATTCTTCAAAGAGATAATGAGAAATGGAATTGCTGGATCATGGGGTAGATTTGCTTTTAATGTTTTGAGAAGGCTCCATCCTGTTTTCCACAGGGGCTGGACCAGTCTCCACCTCCTCTAACCCTCACCAACACTGTTGCTTCTGTCTCGGCATAGGACATTCTCACAAGTCTGAGCTGGTATCTCATTGTGGTTTTGATTTGCATTTCCTTGATCATAAGTGATGATAAACATTTTTCCATGTGCCTGTTCACCATCTGTACATCTTCTTTGCAAAGTGTCTGTTTCCATTTTCTGCCCACTTTTTATTGAGTTGTTTCTTTTCTTGTTATGAGGTCTTTGTTATCTTGGCTATTAGCCCCTTGTCTGATGACTGACACACAAGTATTTTCTCCCATTCTGTGGGATGTCGTTCTTTTTAATAATACTTTCTTTTGCTGAGCAGAAATTGTTTTAGTTTGATGTCATTCCATTTGTTTATTTTACTTTTGTTTCCCTTGCTGCTATAATCAAATCCTATTGAGGCCAATGTCACAGTGTTTTACATAGGTTTTCTCCTATGTATTCTATGATTTCAGGTCTTATATCCAAGTCTTTATCCATTTTCAATTAATTTTTGTGTGTGGTATAGGATAGTGGCCCTGTTTCATTCTTTTACATGTGACTGTCCAGTTTTCCTAACATTATTTGTTCGAGAGACTTTCCTTCCCCCATTGTATATTCTTAGCTCCTCTGTAGATTAACTGTCCACGTTTTTGTTTTCAGACTCAATTCTGTCCCATTGATCTGTGTGTCAATTTTATCCCAATATCATACTGTTTTGATTACTACTGTTTTAGAGTGCAGTTTGAAGTATAAGAGAGTCACACCTCCATTCTTTTTTGTCAGAATTGCTTTGAGTGTATGGGGTCTTTTGTGGTTCTGTACAAATTTCGCTGAGATCAAGCACAAAACAAAGATGCCCACACTTGCCACTACTATTCAATATAGCATTGGAAGTCCTAACTTAGAACAACTAGGCAAGAAAAGTATAAAACAAATCCAAATTGGGAAAGAAGTAAAACTATCTCTACTTGAAGATGATATGGTAGCTTACATAGAAAACCCTGGAATTCTACAGGGATGGAAATATTAGGAAATGTAGTTTCTGCAAGGCTAAGTAACATAGATCCATGACAGTCCACCCTTGTTGATGTGGCACCCACACACACCACTTCCAATCATTCTTAACTGCCAACTAAAGATAATAGCAAAATCATGTTTCTGCCTAATATAATGCCATTATATCTGCATCACCTAAAACAAATGACTTCCAGCCACCTCCCCCTTCCCCCCAAAAAAGAGAATACTAAGTTCACCCATCTTTGGGTTGTGTTCATTTCTATTCTTGCTGCATCATGAACCCCTTTTGATATTCTCTGATTTAAATACAAGAAGAGGACATATCTTCTGCCCTCTCCTACGTATCTATTCAAAGAAAACAAAAACACTAGTTGCAAGAGTTATTTATGCTCCTATGTTCATTGCAGCACATTTACAATAGCCAAGCTATGGCACCAAACTAAGTGCCTCATGTCAGATGAATGGATAAAGAAGACACAATGGAATATATACAATCAATTATTACAGGGCTATAAAAAGATGAAATATTGCCATTTGTGACACGGATAGAACTGGAAGGGATTATGCTAATTGAACAAGTCAGAAGGAGAAAGACAAATACCGGGTGATCCATTTCATTCATATGTGGCATATAAAGAAATAAAACAAAGGAACAGACAAAACTAAACTCCCAGAGGGCATAAAGGGGGAGGGAGCCCAGGGGACCATGGTGGGGAGGCATGGTGTGATAGCACACATTTGTAGAGGAGTGAACCTGTACCCCTAAAATATAAACAGTGTTGTAAATTCATGTTACCTAAATAGACATAATTTTTTTGAAAAACCGCATTTCCTACAAGTCAATAGGGAGGAAGGTTGTGATTCTGTGGCCCTTGAGGACATGCTGGCACCTTCTGGAGAACCATCTGTAACACAGGCCCATTGAGGAGAAGGAGAAGCCTCAGCAGGGCCTCTTCTCCATCATCTAGAATATTACAGTCAGGGCCTCCCTGGTGGCGCAAGGGGTTAAGACTCAGCACTATGAAGCTATCCGCAGCCACTACAGCACAAGTTCAATCCCAGGCCAGGGAGCTGACCCACATGGCACAGCAGACCTCTTCGGTCTCACCCGCTGCTCCCCTCAGCAATGTTTTTCAGTAGATTTGCCAGTTCTGCTCCCCACTCTGTCTCTGGTGAATTCTCTCACCCCATACATCTCTGGCCTGCACCTTAGCTTTTGTATGCATAAATAAATAAATCTTAAAAAAAAAAGAGTATTTCAGTTAAAGAGAAACTGCATTAAGAGCAATGCTTCTGATTCCTCTATGTGTCTATTTCAAAATGGATTTGGGAAATGGCTTTGATCAAAAGAATAATAATAATTGGTGAGCAGATGACACCTTTGCATTCCTTCTGTATTACATTACTAAATATAGATATGATTCCACAGCAAACTTCCTAAAACACTAGTTTATTCAGGTTGATCATATAAAATGACACTTTGAAAGTGTTCAATGTCAGAAGTGTTAAAATACAGATCCCATTTGCTATGTGGTTATTTGGCGTCAGTTGGTGTAAGAAAGCCAGCGGGCCTTTCTTGGAAAGGATCCACCTTTGCTTTGGAGTGGGCCTTTCTCCCTGCAGTCTGGTATTCTAAAGCCTTTTCTTTTATGAATTGATAGATAAGTAGGGTTTTTTTTTAAGATTTATTTATTTATGCATACAAGAGCTGGGGTATGGGCCAGAGTGTGGGGGGTGAGAGGATTCACCAGAGACAGAGTAGGGAACAGAACAGGCAGACTGACCAAAACACACTGCTGAGGGGAGCAGCGGGAGAGACAGGAGATGTCTGCTGCGCCATGTGGATCGCTCCCAGGCCTGCCGGTGATCAAATTCGTGCTGCAGTGGCTGGCAATAGCTTGATAGTGCTGTCTTTAACCCCAGCGCCACCAGGGAAGCCCCTCTCGCCTTTTTTAAAGACAGCATTTGAGTCACAGCCCTGAGACCACACATCCAGAGAAGAAGCCATGCTGAGACTTATACGGCCCCTCAGGCCCGCTTGCCAATCACCTCCCAATCCTCAAGAAAGAATAAGGCCCTGTGCTTGGCTGACCCCCAAGGTCAAGGACAGGAGCCCCAAAGAAGGCTTGATGTTCACCCCAGAAAACCTCCCATTGGCTAATCTGTACCTTCTACCTCGGAAAGAACATGGTTAAATTTGGGTTTAGTGCCCCAAAGGCAGAAGACAGGCAGAGCAACCCCCGACAGCAGAGGAGAATGCCTGTGTGGTTTTTATTAGTCTTGAGAGTGAATATTATTCAATATCTATATGGGGGACTTATGAAGTCAATTTCTTCTTCTACTTGGGCTAAAGTTCTCTAGAGGGTGGCTATGACAACTAAGCTGTAGAAGCTAAAAGTAAATGCATCCCTGGAAAACCTTCCTTCAGAAGAGAGGAGCGTCTTTAGAAGTGGAGATAGTGGACCTGGAGCCTCAGCACAGAAGGGCGAGCTGCCGGGTGGAGGCCTGGGACCCCGACTTTCCTGAGTGAGTGCTGCGACTAGAGCCACTCTCTGGGACTCTCAAGAGGGTGCAGTAGGGCAGGGCCGTCCTCCAAGCCCAGAAAGAACAAGGCCAGAGGCTGGGGTTGACGGCAAGCGGTGAGCCGTGTTGCAAGGCCACCCCTTCACTAGCTGCAGAACGCGTTGGGGAAGTATCTATAACGAGGGTTGTAGCTCCGCAGGTTCCTCCTCAGGCAATAGGAGAGCCTCCGGTCACAGGTGCACAGCTGGACCTGGCAGAAGGCCCCAGATTCTGCAAACAACACCACAGAGATCAGAATGAGGAAGGGAGGGCCACGCCCTGTTGATATAGATCCCCCGCTTGATTCTAACTGAGCAGGCCCCCTGGTCTGCATCCTGCTCGAAGAAGCTCTGGCTGATAAGGGAGGCACAGGTGGGGGAGGGGTGCACAGCCTGGTGGAAGAGGCTCAGCTGCTGCCCAGGTTGATGTTTCAGGCCAGGGAGACCGCTCATACCCATGTCCTCCCTCCCATGTCCTACCTAGCCTGAAGGTGGAGCCAGCCCTGCTCTGGAGGAACCCCACTTCTCTTCACAGGGAGGCACCATCCTGAGATGTAGCTAGAACTCAGAAGGACCTGAGCCTGGAGCCAGGCTCTTGCTGTGTGCATTGGCTAGATGGAGTTTGGGGATCTTGTAAAAGAGGGACACCACTGGATAGGGTATTTTGGGGGAGCAAGTAACAGAAAGTAAGCCAAGCATGTGGCATCTCATGAGGGTTCAGCCTATGATGTTTTCACCCTTTCCCTGGAGGTTGGATCATCTGCAGGAATCCTGCCCCTCTCCCGCCCTGCTCTGCTCCCCAAGATATAGACCGACTGACCGCTAGGGGCTGCTGACCTCAGAACCTACAGAGACCCAGACCCTGCAAGTGACCCAAATGGGAAGCTCCGGCCTTACCACAGGTGACCAGGCCCCTTGCGAATCTGTATCTGTAGGACTGTGTCCGGATGCTGCAGGCTTTCTCCTCCAGCCGCCCGTAGCAGTGGTCATGCAGCCAACAGCACCTGCCAACGCAGGAGACTGCACTAGATCCCTAGTGGAAGGGGGAGCTGTGGAAGCAGAGCCCACCTGGCTGGGTGTGGTCTAGCAGGGAAGAATCCAATAATGTGACTGAGCCCTTCTCTGCTCTTCCGCTAGGGCTGCCTAGTAGCCCTACTGGCTAGTAGTTCACTAACCAGCTTTCCTCCTGAGCTCAGGGTGAGACTACATTTCCCGGCCTCCCTTGCAGCTACATGTGGTCACATGACTAGGTTCTGACCAGAAAAGTGTGGATAGAAGTGATGTGCACCACTTCCAGATCTACCCCTGAAAATGTCCCAGGCTTTCCTCCATTTTCTGTCTCTCTCCATCTCTCAGCCAGATACAAATGACCCAGGCAAGGACTCGGAGGCCATGTTGGATGGCAGCACCACAAGATGGGAAGAAACTGGGCCTTGGAATAATATGTGACTCATATTGAATTGTTGTATGAGCAAAAAACAAATTCCCAGTATACTAGATGGGGCAGATTGCATTTAAATAATTGGTTGAGGGCCTCCCCGGTGGTGCAGCGGTTGAGCGCTGGGTTGCGAAGCTGCCCGCGGCCTCTGCGGTGCCGGTTCGATCCCCGGCTGCCCACCAGCCACCGGAGGAGGGTCCCACATGGCGCGCAGACCTCTCCTGCCGCCTGCTGCTCCCCTCAGCAGTGTACTTCGGTCCTTCTGCCTGCTCTGCTCCCCGCTCTGGCTCTGGTGAATTCTCTCACCCTCCCGCGCTTCTGACTGTACCCAGTGCATGTAAATAAATAAACAAAACAAACAAAAAATAAATAAATAAATTAAATAAATAACATGCCTCCCTGTGGGGCACAGTGGTTGAGCGCTGGGCTGACATTGCCTGCAGTCTGCAGTGCCGGTTTGATCCCCGGGCCCTGGCGAGGGTCCCACATGGCGCGCAGACCTCTCCTGCCTCGCCCGTGCTCCCCTCAGCAGTGTACTTCATCGGTCTGCCTGTTCTGCTCCCCTCTCTGGCTCTGGTGAATTCTCTCACCCTCCCGCACTTCTGACTGTACCCAGTTTTTGTATAAATAAATAATGCGAGGAAGTCCAAACAAGCTTAACAGGAGAGACTAACTCTCACCCCCTCCAACAGGGGTCCAGCCATGGTGTGTGCCATCTGGAAAGTGGGTGGTCCAACCTCCAGCGAGCTGCCCAAGCTGAAGCCGGGTAGAGCCAAGACCACCCAGCCCACCTAGCACCGCCCAAATGGCAGCTCCATTAGCTTAATAAATTGTCCTCAGCACTTTACACCATTTCAAGATGACTTGTTATGTAGCAATAATGCATAAGGCCAATGACGCATAAGGCCCCTCAAATTTGGGGTGTTACTAGATGTATCTTGGGCAAGTCACTTAACTTGCTTGAGACTCTGTCGTCTTATCTATAAAATGGCACATTAATACTTATTAATACTCATCTTCCAGAATTGACATGGAATTAAATGGGCTCTCATGGTGCATAGACTACAGGATAAGGAGCAGTTAAGGCCACAGCTCACCAATCGGTAGCATCCTTAGGGGTCCCGTGGCCACCCCAGCCACAGTAGCAGCCATAGAAGCCATAGCTGGTCAGGGCGTTCTTCCCCGTCACCTTCTCAATCATTGACTTCAGGTCTAGCAAGCTCCCGGGCACAGCAGGCACACCTGAAAGACAGCCCAGGCCCTCCGGTGAAACCCCGCACACCTGCCCAGCACCCTTCCCCAGACACCTGCCCTTTCTCCCTCCTGGAATTTGGAGGGATCCAGGTGTCCCTTTTTTATTCTCCCCATGAACGGGAGCAGAACAGGGAAGTAAGGCTAGAGCCGTGGTGGAGAGTAGGCAAGTCTGGGTTCAAGTCCTGCCATTAACTCCCAGGTGATGTGGAAAGACACTGCCAGCCTCAGTTCCCTCATCAAAGGGGGCCTTAAAATGACCACCCACCTCTTGGAGTGGTCATGAGGGTTCAAATAAAAATGTATGTAAATGTTGAGCATGGCAGCAGGTACATGGTAAGTGACCGGGAAAATTAAATCAAATTTTTTTTTAAAGATTTGCTTTTATGCATGCATGCATGCAAGAACTAGAGTGTGGGCCAGAGGTGCAGGGGATGAGAGGACTCACCAGAGGCAGAGTGGGAAACAGAACAGGCAGATCTACTGAAATACACTGCTGAGGGGAGCAGCAGGTGAGACAGGAGAGGTCTGCTGTGCCATGTGGGTAGCTCTCTGGCCAGGGATCAAAGTCATGCCACAGTGGCTGGGGATAGCTTGAGAGTGCTGAGCCTTAGCCCCTGCACCACCAGGGAGGCCCAAAATTAAGTAGAATTAATAGGGTATCTTTTGGAAACAGACAGACACTGCCTGACTCCTACCATGCATCCTTCCCTCCCATCCCCCAACTAACACCTTAAACCCAGAATCTCAAGCAGGAAGGGACCCAAAGAGCGTGGACGCCCGCTCCCTCATCTTACAAGTTGGGGGACTGAGGCTGGAGGGGAAATTGCTTTGTTGAGGGTTTTGCAGTGGGCGGGGGGCTCCCTCCCTGCATGGGGACTCCTGCTCCTCCTGGGGTCTCCAGGGACCTGTCCAGCCATCACAGAGCAGGACAGCCCATGCGTGTCATGACTGGGCTCTGGGGCTGCAGGGAGGCCCTTGCCGAACCCCATCCTCCAAACCCCCTCCATCCCTGCCCTCCAGCTGGGAGGGGGGTGTGTAAAAGGCCTGAATGGAGATGTAAAATTATGGGACAGAATATTTGTATAAGGGGGTTGGTTTTGTTGTTGGTTTTATTTTTTGTTTCCTTTGCTTAGGGCGGAAGTACAAAGCCTGCCTCCTGTATTCATAAGCCACAGCTCCTGGCACAGCCCGGCGTCGGCTCGCCACCTCCTGAGCCCGCCACAGCTCTTCCGGCTAGCAGAACATCAGCCTGCGTGACCCTGAGCAAGCAACCAAGCCCGAGATTCATCTCAGAGCTCTGTGACCCTGAGGACGGTCCCCTTTCTACTACCCTCTTGTCCCTCCAGGGTGGGAAATCACACGTTCGGAGGTAATGACACCAGCACTTACTACAAGCCAGGAGCCCGACCAGCGCGAGGAGACCCTTCATCTCTGGGGTTCTGGAAAAGAAAACGCACCCATGACGTGGCCATCAGGAGCCACCCCCGTGGCCAATCCTGACCTTCCCCGGGCTCCCACCCCAGACCTCCCCTCTCCATGGGGCAGCAAACATGCAACCCCAGCCAGATCAGAGGAGACCAAATCCTCAGGGGCTGGCCCAGGGATTCAGGCACTTGTGGGGTGCTGTCTCTGATAGAGACGGGAGAGATGGTCCCCCCACATGTACCCAGACACCATTGCTCCCTGTGCAGAAAACCACTAAGAGGAATCAGAGAAATAGGCCAGATCCTTCAATGGATGGAGATTTAAAATGAAGAATTTAATTAAAACATTTTCATGGGCCCCCAGGCACTGCACCTACCTACAGAGTAAGTCGACTCGGGAGGCTCATGAAGGGTCGATATCTGTCCCCAGTGGAGAAATCGAGGCTCAGAGAACTCAGGAACTTGCCAAAAGCCACATAACTAGTAAGAAGGAGAGGCGGGATTCAAACCCGGGCTGGTGGGCACCTCAGTGTGTCACACAGCCAGCCCGAGGGGACCAGGTCCCTCTGCAGGATTCTGGGCGCCCCATGGACCTGGAGGCCCAGCTTCCCTCCCCAGCATCTGCCTCTGGTAAACACATGAATTTCTGGCCCAGAGTCCAAAAACATCACACCAGAAGGCAGAGGAAATTCCATGTGTCTCGGGCCGGTGGCTGCTCTGACTCGGCTCTCAGGGTATCCCTGCCGGCGCTGCCTACTTCCCGTCCCTCCCGGGACCTCAAAGTCCTTGTTTATCCACGGTTGCTCACCTCTGGGTCTCAGGGATTTGCCCTTTGGGGCCCTGCTGCCTCCAGCCTCTGAGTCTGGCATTCACTGCGCTCTGCCCGAGCCCCTGCCTCTCCCAGATGCGGCTCCACACACCCCGCCTCCAGCCCCCAGCACTCCTGGCTACTGGGCCGGCCTCTCCATGCCATGCTGTGTCCAGCAGCTCCTCTGAGTTCCAAGAACATTCCTGAGGGTTCTATCCACCCATGACCTCTGCTTTGAGGGCTCTAAACAACCCAGAGAAATGGCCTTAGGCGCTCGCCTTCCACATTTTTCTCTGCTGCTTTCTGATCTTTGACAGGAGAAAGATGCTATCAGCCACACATTGGGCCCCACATGGTGCCGGGCACTGACCACTGTCTCCTTAAACCCTCCAGGCACCCTGGCGGTGGGTGTGTTAGACCAGCTGGCCCAGCCTCAGTCCCTTTAACAGTCACCATGGAAGGAGTGAGAAGCGTTGTCGATTTCACAGACAGGAAATCGAGGCTCGATGGGGAGGTGAGCTGCCCGAGGACTCAGTCCAGAGACTTCAGTGGCTGCTTTGCCTGACTCCACTGCCTCCGAGCAGCTCCTGTGTATTCACCTTTCTGCTTATTTTCTGTATTTCATGATACGTCGACATCTTGGGGGCCCTTGCTGCTCTGGGAAGAGCCAGCCCCTCCCCAAAAGAGCTAATGCCTGAAGACGGCAAATGACTCCCCAGGCAAACCCATCAATCCTAAGCCAACTTGTCTCACCGCCTCCTTTATCTAACCCTCACACCCCAAGCCAACATCCCCTGCCCTCATCACCCCAAGGCCAGGACCAAACAGCGTGGGGCCACCCCGGTAGCCCCGGAGTCCGCTGAAATGGCGCATGCTGGCCAATCCTAAGCTGTTTCCCCCGCCCTGCCTTGCCCTTCCTGCAGAGGACGCAATAAAGGCCTGTGCTCACGCTCATTCCCACTGCCTCCCGGCCAGCCTGCCGCCTGCCGCCTCCCGCGTCCCCTCCTCTCGAAACTGTGAGTAGCAAACCCTTTAAAGGGGTGAGTGTCTTCTGCTCTGTTGGGGTCAACACACCCAAATAGAACCAAAATCCCAGGTGCACTTTAGAACACCCTGGGACCCCACTTGTGGAGGGGTAGGGGTGAGAGGTGAGGGGGCATCGGGGGAAGGCACCATGAAGCCCTTGCAGGGGGCCCGGACAAATACAACAAGCTTCACAGAGGAGGGGCCGAGGCTCAGACACTGGGGCCTGGACAGTGGACACTTGGTGGAACCCGAAGGAGGATGTGGCGCTGGCGTGGGGCTGGCTATTTTTATCCAGCAACCGCAGTGGGGAGTGAGCGCTGCCGCAAGATAATTTTGGAGTGGAGCGGTGGCTGGGTGATGAGAGGAGACGTGGAGACAGCCTAAGGAGGCACGGAAACGTGGGGGCCAGGGCGTGGTCATCTCCAGAGGGACAGGTCCTCCAAGCCCACATGCAGTTGCCCTCTCCGTGCTCCCAAGAACCCCCCTCTCATCATGCCTCCAGGCTGAGGTGAACAGCACAGCAGGTGCGGAGACCTTCCTGAAACCTGTGGAGGAGGCAGTGGGGGGCCAGGGGCCTCCTCTCATACATACCCCTGTGCCCTGCTTCCCCTCCAGGCGGGAGCAGGGAGTTTTCCCTTGCAGCTCCCCCTCCACACCTCCCCACCCCACCGTGCCCTGCTCCGCCGTCCCTCCGGCCAGACAGCCACTCCTCACCATGAGTAGGTTCGGTCCTCAGGCCTGGAGAAGAGGCACTGCTGCCCGCCTGGCTTTAAGGGCCTCTGCCCTCCTCCCACACTCCTGCCTGGGCAGGCTCCAAGATTCCTGGTAACTCTCATAGGAAGCCCAGCTTCTCCCCTCAAGACCCCCGGGGATTCATTTCCTCTCTGTGTCAGAAGCTGAATGAGTCACAGTGCCTGGGTGCTTTGGGGAGAAACACTGAGGAAGGTCTGGTTTGGGCCACCCAAGGTTTTCTCCACCAGAAACCAGAAACCTGGAATCCCTCCGTGGGCGCAGCCTCCCGCCCTCCCTCCTGCCACGCCAGGTCCCTATCAAATCCTCCAGCCCACAGCTTCTGCTAGAATTTCCTCCGGTCTCACTCAGCCTCAATCTGGGGATAGCATTGCGGCCGGGCACCTGCTCCTGACTGGAAGGGTAGCCCGTCCTCTTCCTGAAGTCCCAATCTGCCAACCCCCAGCTTGCTCCATCCTATTTCCAGGTCAGGGCAATGCAGGAGCCCCTGAAAGCCCCCTTGTCTCCCAAAGGCCAGCTGGTACCTTTTGGGCACTGGTACCTCCTTAGCAAGTTCCTGCAATTCTTCCCTCTGGGAAGGGGAAACCACCAGCTTTGCAGTTAGAGAGACACAGGCTGGAGACCCCTCAGTTACACAGTGGCTGTGTGACTAGGTCACCACACAGGCGAGTCACCACACTGCTCTGTGTTTTCTTGTGCAGTGTGAGAATAATGACTCCTGCCACCCCAGAGGCTCATGGCTAGGAATAGACTGTATAAACTAAGGCCGGGGATGGGGGAGTGGAGGGTGGTGAGATTGGGGGGGGGGTGGAGGGGTGGGGGGGGTGTGACATGCAGCTGGGGGTTAACGTTGCAAACTCTACATCAGCCCCTAATCCTGGGTTCAAATCCTGCCTAGCTGGGATCTGGGAGTCCTCAGGGCTGATTGTAGTGTGCCTGCCTTAGAGAGCTGTTGTTAGGGTTCAGTGAATCAATCCATTTATAACAGAGCAGGGGTAAAAGAATGCTCACAAAGTAATGATAAGTAACCTTCTAGAACCTCCTCATGAGGACAGAGGTAGCTGTTAGTATTCTCCAGTCTCCACTCCAAGCAAGCCCTACCCCTGCTCTGTCCCTAACCCCCACAGATACACTTCCCTTGACCTCTCTCTCCCTCCCGCCCCTCATGGCAGCAGCGTCAAGACACCCCTCCTTCTGGCCCTGGAGAATACTTGTCCCCGGACCTAGCCACGAGGCTCCCCAGGGGACCCTGTGAGTCCAGTTCAATACAAAATGCAGGTCACGTCCACTCCGTGCTAGCACCATGGAGACAGAGCTGGGCCCCCCCCAGCTTCCCACTGGCCCAAGGAAATGGATAGTGAAGGCAGCAAATAATTGTGCACGGGGCGTTAGTCAACGGGAGCGCCTCTGCTCTGGTTTTTCCTCTTTTTCTCCGCCTGTTCCTTCCCCGGCTGCAGGCACACATGAGCCTCACCATCCTAATCCAAACAGAAGCTGTGCCCCCAAGAGGAAAACATCGCTGACCTCTGCTGACCTCTATGCAGCTTGCTCTTTCCACTAAAGCCAAATTTCTGGACAAAGGAGCCGCCACTGGTCCAGCCCTCACTGTCTCCTGCTTGCTCGTCACTGGCTGTCTCTGAGCCTGTGCTGCTGGGCCTCTGCAGCACCCTAAGTCAGCTCGCAGGGTTCCCCAAAGCCGGGGTCACTCTAGCCTGGGCTTTCCCCCTTAAGCTGAGTGAACGCATGATTTCTCCACTCTAGCTTCATTCTTATCCCACTACTCAAGCCCACCTTCAAATAGAATTATTAAATATCATTTGAATTATTATCAATTCAAACATCATGCAGGTATTTGTGTTTGAATTGTTATATTTATTATCTGCATTCTTTTTAATTATTTTATATTTACTGCTAATATTAGCATTACTATTTATACTCTTGTTTTATTTTTATTATTCATGTTGTTTTATTATTGATATTATTTTTTATTGTTAATAAATTAAATAAATATAACAATTCCAATTCAAAAACTTGCCTGACCATCTAGCTCGGACCTCACAGGGACCCCAGAACTAAATTGTCTCCCCCACAACCCAACCCCCCACAGCGCCCCTCTCTCTGGCAATGGCTCATTCACACACAACCATTAACACACCCCAAGCATGTCTACCCCCATAGATGGAAGACTCTAAAGGGCTGGGTTCTTCTCTGATTCCTTCTGATCCAGGACCTAGAGCAATGTCTGACCCATGGCAGGTTCTAAGGAAATATCTGTGGAAAGACACATCCCATCAATACGCTTATTCTCTGACACTTGCTGTGTCTGTTTGTGCAGACTCGTCCCAGAGCTGAAGTCTTGCAGACAGTAGCCACGAACACCTGGGTGCTCGCTCACCCTCAGACTCTGAGTGGCTGAAACACCCCTGACCTTATCAAATGGTTTGCTGCCCCCATGAGACTGGCACCTAGATAGAATGGGATTTTCTAGGGATCCTTGGCAGAAAGTCTACAGTGGGACTGCTTCCTCCAGGAAGTCTTACCTGATTGCTTCCTCTACTAGGCATTTTTCTGTCTGAAATGCTACAGGACTCCTCAAATGTGTGGCACACTCTGGCTCTTCTTGTTGGAAGGGATTATGAGGCTGATAACTTAGGGAGGAAGGAGAAAGGAGTGTACAATGATCGCTCACCGTACCATAAGAGCCCCTAATAAAAGGGACCCAGTATCTGAAGCCTGATCCATCAGTCACCCATGTCTGTGTTCTTTTCTCTATACCCAAAAAACCCAGGATTGGAATTTTCACATGTCATTGACCAAACTGTTATATTATTTCTTTTTTTTTTTAAGATTTATTTATTTATTTATACAAGCACTGGATACAGTCAGAAGCG